AAAAACTGTTTGGCCATGGAACACTATGCGTATGAAGCTTGCTGTACTTGTAAGGAGGTGGTTGGAAACCGATTGTATCTGTGTGCGTCAGCTCAGCCATTTTGAGCAGGTACCACATGTTATCATCTATGGCTTTCTTGCCGCAAAAAGGAGGAACACCATGTATCAGGATAGTGCGCTTGTGCAATTCCGACTTCCGACTCTACTGAGCTAAGGCTCGCTTTAAGGAGTGTGTTGTTCGTTTCTAGAGTACGAATCTGGGGTGCAATGGTGTGTGCAACATGGGAGTGGATCTCTGCTAAGGCTGGACCAACAAACGTAGATTGAATGGTATTCCTGGAAGGTTTCCTTGATTGTTTCTTTTCCTATCCCTGGGGCTTGCGTGGAGCTCGAAGGTGCTGAGGGGAGAGGGACATCTGTTGTCATGGAGAACTGACCTATGCTTGGGTCTAGGCGGGCTTCCTTCCTAGGTCTACGAGTTGCCATAAAAACTTTCATTGCTTCAGGATCTGCTTGGAGCCTGTACTAGTTGGGGATCCATGTCGCCCCAGCTAGGGGGTTCATCGTTTTCAGATTTTACGGATCTTAAGCCTGTTAGGTCGAGGAGATGGAAACTTGTGTGATTGTTGCTTCTGTTGATGCGTCAGTAGTAATCCATCATACATCTGCTTCGTTATAGTTTGAGTGTCTGCACCTGAGCGGAGGGGGTATGTATCATTCTCACTCACAGGCCTGGAGATTCATGTTAGGGCCGATAAGAGTATCTTGAATAACGCGGGGTGCTTGCATTGCTGCCAGAGGTTGCGGAGGCTGCTCAATTCCAGGGTTGCTTCAGACGGCGCTGGGGCGGCAGAGTCCATGGAGTGCGCAGGCGCCGGCGCCGTTGCCATGGCTAACGTAAGTGCTGGCTAGCTTAAGTAAAAATCAAACCTTGCACTAAGGCCGAACAAAAAGGAAAACTAACAAAAGTATCAAGCGCTAAGGCCGGTGTGGCTAGTGAGCGGGCCCATGCGGCCTGGAAAAAAGTGACCACTAGGGCTGAGTGTGTGTGTGTGTGTGTGTGTCTGTGTGGACATGTGTGATGCATGTTCTGCTTGCGCAGAGCGCTGGTGGCTCGCTAAGCCTGAGAGAACGTGTTTTTGGAATTTGGGCAAGACCTTGTGCTGTTGGAGACATTTTCTGTTCTCTCGATGCACGTGCGCATTTAACCACTTGTCATCGTTTTTAAAACTCTGAAGCGATTTTGTGGGGCTTCTGCTTTTGAGTGCGAAGAAGACGTTCTTTGTTCTTGTTGTTTCTCGAAAAACGGTGTTTTACTCTGTCTTTTTTCGCTTAAGACCGCCTGACGCGATAGCGTGTGGCTTTCTTTCGTCAAGCACTTTCGTGTGGCTTTCTTCTTGTTGTGTGTAAAGCACACGTTTTCAGCCACCTGAAGCGATCATTCTCTTTCTCGTGTGTGGACAAGACGTTTTTCGTTTCTTTTCTCGTGGTAGAAGGTCGAGAACGAAAACGTATTTTGTCGGGAGCTCTTTCTTGTGCGGTGTCCCTTCGCTCGACTGTAGATCTCTACGAGGAAGATGGACAGGGATCATCGCCTTTTGGCCCGAACTCGTAATCGGAACTCGAACATTCCGCAAGCCCGCGAGCATTGTCGCAAGCAGGACGTTTTCGGCTCCATTAATAGGTTCTGGAATTTTGGAAAAACGGAGCCGAGACGGTGGCCTATTCTCATCCTTGTGCTCTCTGAACCAGGCCAACGTATACTCGCCACCGGACGGAAAGCCAGGAAGATGCCGTCTGCAGCTCTCTCAATGGAGCTCATGCTCATGATTCACCGGCAAGGGTGCCTTTTGGCCCCGAGCCATGTGAAAAGGGACTTGAACCAATGGGCTTCGCTGACGCACTCTGGATTCAGTGGTTTCACGCCGGACAAGCGCCTCTCTGTCCTAGATGCGTGGCACCAGTTTGAACTAGTCGCCTCTATTCTGGAACGCTGATCTACGGGGCTCACCTATGGCCTGACTGGCGCACGGTGAACTTCTGAGAGAGTTCCCCATGACCGCACCGATTTGCGGTCGGATCTTTTGCTCCAGGCACCACGGTGCCGCTTTTTCGACTCTACGAACCGGGGGCTGCACCGAAGGGTGCGGCCCTTCAGAAAATCCACTTCACTCTACTCGCGAAAAAGAGGAGTTTTTCTGTGTGCCATTTGGATCGTGTTTGCTGACATTAGACAGGAAGCTTGGATTCGCTCCGGACCGAGTGTGGTTGCGCCACCGACAAGGCCGAATGACGCCAACAAAATAGCTTCCAAGGCTTCAACTTGATTTGTACCTCACAGCTTGCATCTAAGAGGAAAGTCGTCTTTTTGTTCTGCCGATCCAATTTGCACAGTCGCACACACACAACAAGCATGTGCCGTGGCTTCACCCTCTTCCAGCAGCAACTTGCTCTGTTCTCACTAAACGTCAATAGGTCAAGTTTGGCGGAAAAGCGGCCATGCAAAAAAAACCGCTGTGGCCGAACTGCACTTCGTGTCCAAAGGCACGTGATTTCGGAATAACCAAACAAAAAATGGCTGCGCTCGATAGTCTGGACACTTCCCAAACACTTTGAGCACAAATCTGCGGTGACCTTACTTTGAAGCCGAAAACTGCTGAGATGTTTGAGATGTTTGGGATCATAAATTCCTTTGCCTTTTATTTGTGTATGGAATATAAACCATGTATATCTTTGACTTCTTTTGCGACTGAGTCGCTTGCTATCGGTCCCTTTCGGTTGGACCGAATTGCGTGTGTGAAGCCTGCTTTTCGAACTGGGCCCGATGGGGTTTGCCGCATGCACGCTGTTGGTTTCACAAGCTTGGGTGCACTCGTACCGAGAATTCAAGCGTTTGCTCACCAATTCACGGACCGAATTTATTTCTGTATCTTCATTCCATGTTTGAACGAGTCGGCATTAACTTTTAAACCCATTGTCCGATAAGCCAAGCATCTCAACAACGTTTGTTGGCCCACATTGCTCCAAAAAGGGATCTGCAAAGGTATTTGTGGGTCGAGCCCGTATGGACGGGGGCTGCCAATTCTTTGATCTGTGTATTGATTTCGCTTTGACAGCCTGTGCTCAGCGAAAAAGAAATCGCAAGATTCAAGTTCGAGCATCGTCGGGGTAAGCAGCTGTCACCATTCACGATAGTAACTTAGACCTGGAGGCGACTATGCCTGGAAGCAGCAGCTGTTGGAGTCAATCAACCAAAAACATGATAACAAACGCATCAAAGAGTGGACCAACGCGAAGCTGAGCCAGCTACAAGGCGGGAACAACAAGGATTCTGTCAACCGCACGATCCAAACAGAAACATGTATATCGGCCTTTGATCGCATGCAAACAGAGCCTCTCAAAGCCATCATGGCGGTGATCACGAAGATGACCCCAACCTTGCAGTGGAAACACTCTTGGAAGCACCTCACAATCCAGAACACGGAGTCAGCAGAATACATTGCTTGGTTAACATACGATCACTTGGAAGGTACGGCGAAAATCTACGTCAACAACTCCCTCTAACGAATTTCTCATCGCTTACGGGAATATCATATCACGCAAAAGGTAAAGGCAACTCAGCAGCAGAAGGAGTACTGACCACGGCCGATCATTGACACTCAAAACCAAAGTCCCATGTATCTGCGATGTGAGGGCCATCACAAATGATGATTTCGGACAGAAATACGACCAGCACCTCAACAGGATTGCAAATCGCATCCTGAAGCCTGACCTAGTCTTGTAGGGACACTGCCTTCCAGCACGAGCGGGGAAAAACAATGACATCGATACAAGCGTCACAAGCGTACCCTTAACAACAGAGCAGCAAAAAGATCTTAACAATGATACTCCAAAGACACATCTTCACCGAAAGTCTCGTCACCGAATCTCTTCACCGAATGAGTGCAATTGCTGGCAACGGATTTGCACACCACAAAATACACAGGGATGATATGTGTAACACAAATCCTTTATATAGCGCTTTGCCCTACGCTACCCCCAACCAGCCGGTACGGCGGGAGACGCGCCCACTTTTCCAAGGACGGTGTGCGAACGAAACGAGTGCTGAACCCAAGTCTCACCCAAAACGCGCACATAGAAGGGGTAGAAGGTCTACAACGCAGCAGTCTATCCATAAAGCTAATAGACGACAGGCCCGAACCTTTCATAGAAAGGAATACAGGAGAGTGAGACAGTGCTGGAAGGCCTTGGCCAAGCATCCAGCTAACCTCAGGTTGGCTCAAGAAAGAATCCTAGCAACTACCAATAATTTTGAGAACCTGACTTCCGAAACGAAGGCGAAGACATGAACCAAAATCATGAAAAAACAATCAAATAAACACATGACGTCGAAACATCAACTTAGCACACACAATCCAAATTTGAGAATCGCAATTTTTAACATACGCGGAATGAACTACATGACAGCAAGGCAACAAATTGTCTTTGTTATGAAAAAGCATCATATCGATATCCTTGCCCTGCTTGCGCGAGCTGGCCCTAGAAGGTCAGTTGCGGCACAACAGCAAAAACACAATGCTTGTGTCATTGCCTGTTTGGTCATGAGACTGGTGAATAGAAGTGCATGCCAGCTCGCGAAATGCGGTTTTTCTACAAATTGGCCAAGGTTCAGAACTGTCAAGAATTTGTCAAGTGTTTTGGTTGTTGCTCTTCAACTTGCATTGCCCGAATTTTTACGATCTATTGATCGAACTCCGCCGCAGCCCAATCTTAGGAATTCGGGTGGGATGTTTGCATGGCATTTCCCACGACTATTCCGAGGCAAGGCGTTGAAGACAGAATGGCAGGTACACCAGCAACGGCAGATTGGATGTTTGCCTGCCGGCCAGAACGCATCATCGGTGATACCAGTACATATACCTGTCGGGAGCTTGTGCCATTTTTCATTTCATGTCTTCATATCTGTTTTAGTCAAGCATGTTCCCTGTTTCTGACGTGAGGAAGCGTGAAAAGACGTGGATGCGACTTGTCAAGGTTGGAAGCTTGGTGTGGTTGTGGTGACAGCGGCTTCTGTTTTCGGTAAGCAGACGCAGGGAGGCAGGCACACGTGTGTATCATGCAGTTGCGTGTATTGCCGTCGGCCAAGAAATCCTCCTCCCGCACGGGCAGGTCCGTCGGTCCGGGAAACTCCACCCGGCAGGACTTCTATGGCTTTTTCAAGTTTCTTTGGCAGAGGCCGTCCGACAGCATTGTTGCCATCGGGCTGTAAGCATGCACTAGACTAGAGACAGAGAGACGACGCTTCGTCTCTTCTGTCCAGGCCGGCTTCTCTAGAACGGAGGCGCTTGACCTAGGACGTAGGCATCAAGTCACAAGGAACGGTGTTCCCACACGCGCAAGCCGAATCACAGGCTTTGCCGCATTGCTTGTTGCAGCGCAGCCAGCAGCAGCGGCCCTGTGGACTTGATCTGCCCGTGTTTTGCGATACGTCGGACTCAGGACAGTGCGTCGTGTGGACTCTCACGTCGAAGCGGCAAGTCCAGGCTGAAATTCGACTCGGGCTTCGTATGGCATCCGGCAGTGGCTGCACCAGGTGGAGAGCATGCCAACGAACTCACCCTGAAGGATCGACAGCATGCACGTTTAAAAACTTGAGCACTTTGTCAGGTCACACTTGTCCAGAGAGCACAGTATGAAAGATGAAAGATCGCCTAATGTCGTGCGCAGGCTAAAACCTCCTTGGTCCAAGTCCAGCAAACATCGGACACTGCTTCGCGGCAAGCTGCTGAAACAGCAGCCTTTGCCGGCTTCCACATGTAGTTTTCCAGTGCTGCCAAGGCGGGAGTCCAGGCGCAAGTTGGACCCGGACTTCTTCGCCAGCTTCACCGACGTGCGCTCGACAGTCTTTCTGGACGTGTTGCGAGCCCTGCAATACCTGCAATGACCTTGTGAATCTGGTGTTACTCACGGTCTTGTTCAGGAAATCGTAACGTGTGAAGTGCAAACATCACTTCAACTGCTGTCCAAAACTTAACTGTCTTCAAAAGCCGAACCCAGCTAGCACGGAAGGTCGGTTCGATAGCCAGCCAGGAAATGGGACGGTGCACAACAGAAGGTGCTTCTTCGAAACTGCGCTCTTTCAGGCCGAGTCGACCTTCGATGAAGACGGACAGCCACGTTTTGAGGAGGTCCGAATCTATCTGCTCAAGCTGGGTTGTTGATCAGCTTGCCCGATTGAGGCTGCAAACCCACGCGCAGTTTCGGACGAAAGCGAAAGCATTCCAACAATCGAGCCGCCGCAATGGTGCGCCCCACGACTCTTTCCTGGTCTTTGTCGAAATTCAAAAGTCTGGGAGCCAGGTTTCAGGAAAGTCCATCGGCTGGACCGAAGCAGGTCGGAGAAGCCTTGGAGCGGGCTGCTTCCATTCGTCTTGGGCCCAGGCTTGGCAGACCTACGACCCAGAAACAGAGGCCCAGTAGTCTCTCAGAGTACTCTGCCCAGACAAAGGCCTTAGAGGCCCAAAACGCTCTCAAGAGCGCTGTTCTTTGCCAGGATGTGAGCTGGCGAGCCAAGGCGCCCGACTGGCAGCTCAGGGGCTTTGGGAGGCCGGACGTCGCCTCGAATCGTAGCTTCTTATTTGCAGAGTTGAGAGACCCAGAGAAAGGCTTAAGTCCTAGGCCGGTGGAGGCATTTTCTGTCTCTCCGGAGCCATTGGCCCCTGAGGTCAAGGGCGGGAAGGGATGTGCTTTGCAGACACTTAGACTCACGCATACTCACGACAGCTTCATGCTTTGTGCAAGGGCTGGCATTGGGACCTGGTAACTGGTAGTTCCTGGTAGTTGGATCGCTAGATGGATGGCTTTCTCAGCGCTCAGCGCTTCCTGAGTGAGGGCAATGCGCAGGCGGCGGTGGACTGCTTGGAGAAGATCTCCCAAAGCAGCGGACTGGATCTGGACGGGCATCTCTTGATGGCAGAGGCCTTGTGGACCCAGGCTGGTCCTGGAGGCACTGAAGCTGCCCTGCCACACTACGAGGAAGCCTCGGCTTTAGCCAATGATGTGTCCAAGAAGGCGACGGTAAGTCTCGGTCATGGCTTTGCCCTCCTGCAACTGAAGCATTTCTCCAGGGCGCGACAGGAACTGCTGATAGCGAGAAGTCTGGCTGAGGAGGACGGGAATCCGGCAGCTGCCCAGTTTGTAGACAGCTTGCTTCGAAACGTGGAGGCAGCTCAAACAGATGACGCAGCAAAGTCAACATGGCTTGCATTCGCCGACGCCTACACGGACGGCACGAAGCCGGTGCTGTTCATGAGGGGCAGCGCAAAGGAGCCGCTGGACGCAGCAGGTGCTCACGGAGTGGAAAAGCTGAGAGCTGCCGGGGTGAAGGCCATGAAGGTGGTGGACCTGAGTGAAGCTGGCCCCGAGCTGCCTGGAGGATTGCAGACCTTGGCAGACGTGGGCATCGAGCTCCCGCAGCTCTACTTAAAGGGAGCCGGCGTTGAGCGCTGGATGGACTTGGAGGCGAGCGAGCTCCGTCGAAGGCTTTTGGACTCCGGCGTGAGCATGAAAGATCCCGCCGAAAGCGAGCCTTGTCACGGGGCCTTCTCCGACGGCCTCGCAGATTGGGAGGTTGCTCTCGTTGAGATGGTGTCCGTTTCGGGAGCGGGGGACTGGGACAATAAGGCTCGATCCCTGGCAGAGAAGGGCTTTCAGAATGCCCCAGCGACGGGAACAGCTTTGGAGAAAGCCTGGCAGGAGCTTTCCCCTTCCATCAAAGTGAAGCTCGAGAGTCAACCAGAAATGCCCTGTGGACACTCCTGCAGCACTTGCCCAACCAAGCACGACTGCCAGTTACACGATGCTGTGGGTCATGTCAGAGACATCGAAGACCTGATTTAGACTAAGCGTCGTTTTCCAGAGTCGCAAGTCTTCTTGGGGCTTGAGCTCGTTGCTGCGCCTTTGAAAAGTGGGGGCGCGGACGAGAACCGTGTGACATCACTGAGCTTTGGCGGTTTGAGGCTTCAGCAGGATTGGGCTCCGGTCGAGTCCCGCGAGTCAGGTGCTCGGAAAGGACCTAAGAAGCGCTCGGCCAAGGGCCATGTTCCAGTGCCTCAGGAGAGCCAATGCAGTCTGCATCTCAGCCTTGAGCAGACTTTTGATGCTCTGCTTGGAATCCGGTGGGCTGAGAGGACCGCGAAGACGGGAAGGAGCGCATGATCTGCCGGGTTAGTCGGGGATTGTTCCACACGGGCCCGGGCTGAGATTGACAGGAGGCCGCGTGGTTCGACACAGCGGTGAACCAGTACGACTGGTTCGGACGACCCAGGGCGCCAACCCCCGAGTCGCCCAAGTTCTATGTCGAGTGGAGCAGGGTGAGCAGGACGCGGACATGGCAAAGCCAAAGCCCCTGGAATCTTCCGTTCCCCCCCCCCCCCCCCCCCCC